ATTTTGTGCCGCCAAATAAATAAATGCAAGAGCACTCTCGACTAATGAGCCTCGGCAGAGTAGAAAATAATCCCAAGTCATTAAAAGCGACATGCTGGAAGTGCATCGAGCGAGCGAATGTGTTTCTCGTGTATAATTACAGCTGCAGATAGAGGCTTAGCGGAGGATCAAGAGACGACGGGGCCAATTAGAATTTATTAACCCGGAGATCAACCTAGAAAAATAAATACAGCAGAAAATTGCGGCTGATTTTTATAATTGGGCTGGTGAAATTACAGCCTTTTTTCTAGAGAAACGACTCGTCATACTCTTTTTTAGTTTAATCTGAAGCAAAACATTAAGAAAAATATTTCAGCGACATTTTCAAATTCTATAGGTTTAAAATAAAATTAAAGGGCATTTTAAATAAAATTATGAAAACACTGATTTTTTAACAAAAGGCTCTTAAATTTCAATCATTTTTTCAGAAGAAAATATTTCCTTAAAACAAATTAAAATTATATAAATAATTTTAATTCTGCAAAAAGTTAAAACTAAATTTGTCCAGAAATTTTATATTTACTTTTAAATTGTATAGAAAGTGGTACTGTAAATTCTTAATTTTTTTTGCTGTCTCGTTTCATGTACATGGTTTGATAAAAACAATTTATATCACAAATTCTTCAACAAATATTTAAATTAAATCACATATCAGTACAGAATTTTTGAAAAAATTCAACATTTTTGCCAGGAAACCGCCAAGTAATTTATTATTTGAAAATATAATTTAGAGAAACTTCTAATTAGCCACGAGAGCTCCTTTTCCCGCGCAGACACGGTTGTAATTTTCCTGTGAGAATAATTTCCAAGACACTGCAGTCCTTCTCATGAGCAGCGCACTTGGAAAAACATGAATGTTTCATTCATTCTGTGTTATGTGTGCTCGGCGCAATGCATGTTATGAAAATACACACAGAGAGCGGAGTGAGTGCCAGGAGTAATAAGTTCAAGCACTGCTCGTACATAAAAAGTACTTCTTACTCTCGGTGGCGTGTATTATGGGTGTGTGTATATTTTTAGAAAGAGAAGCGAGCCCGCAGAGCAGCGCACTCAATCATCGCACAATTGCTTCGAGTGCAGCGCCGGCATGAGAAAAGAAAAGGAAAATTTGAAATAACCTGTGTGAATTGCAATGCGGCTTTTATGTTATCAACAGGAAAGTTCTTTTGTTTGAAGTTTAAACGGTTTGTTTGTATTATTTTGCCGTAGCTGAAAATGCAAATGGCTCAAAAAGTTTGAACTATTATTTTAGAAAAATATTTTTGATGGAGAAAACTTGAAATATTTCATTTTCCAGCTTGTGAAATTCTTTTTGGATTCCATTTTTTCAGCTAAATCAACAAGAATAATTTTCACATTGAAAATAAGTTGTATTGATTAATAGTTTATTATTATATTTTCATTTTAATCAATTCTGAAAAAAAGGGTCAATAATATTTATATTGATTTATATGAGGTGAAATTTTCCACTAAAAACGGCATTTTATTTTATAATGACCCATCTCCATCCAACAATTAAATATGCAAAAAGTTTGGCTCCATATCTATACTGTTTCTAAATTGGGAAGTTATTTGCAAGCCTCAGCATTATACCCAGGAGCATTAAGTTAATTAAAATTAACAAAATTATAAATTGGTATCAATTGGTATATTATTGATTTCTACATCAAATAAATTTAATTAAAGTAAATTTCCTTACTATTTATTGAAATTATATTTTTATAATTATGTTGTAAGAATTATATTATTACTAAACGAAGACAAAAACTTGAAAAGTTAAAATTTTAACTTTTAATTAGAAATTTTATTTATCTACAAATATCACGATTTAATTTCACTTTCCAGAAATTAATTTTACTATTAAAGACTGGAATTATTAAATGAAAATATTTTTTTTTTCAAGCCGTTAATTTTTTTTTTTATGTGCTTTGGTCACGGATTTCCTCTCTCCGAGTTTTTCCCTTTCGAAACGGGTTGGACGGATCATCCAAAATATGATAATCAACTCGTCCGACCTCCAGTTCTGCGCACAGTATTTATGTGTTAGCAGTGCCATTGCCATTAGTACATAAACAGCTTGCCATTAAAATAATAGCAAATTCGGACGTAATCAAAACCGGCGTCGCGAAAATAAAATTATATGTGCAGCATTGCAAAACGCCCGCTAAAGCAAAAGCTGATAGGCATATTTTTAAATAATAACACTCTCAAGGGCGTCTTGCGGACACGTCTGAATTTGAATAGAAATAAAATTCAGCAGGATGCGGGACCTAGACCTTAACCCTTTGCGTGCACATCATGATGCAAATGTAGGCCAGCAGCGCGTGTGTGAAGCAAGGCAGTGCATAAACAATAATATAACGAGAGAAAGAGATGAGTACGGTAAGGAGGTGGCGAGGAGTTGTTGGCTTACTTTGCAGCGTCAAATAGAAGGTGAAAATAAATACGCCGCGGCGGAGAGCAAAAGGCGCCGGAGAAAGAGAAAGAAAGAACGGGTCGGAGGAGGAGGAAACTCTCCGTCCGTGTCCTCCAAAAAGCAGAGACCTCAATCGCAGAGAACGAATCTCAAGCCGGACTTCTTCTTATTTCAACTCCCACGCGCCACGGGAGATGCTGCTCACACTTATTGTTAGGTCAGGCCTTCAAATACCAGAACGAATTAAATCAAAATTAAAAAAGGCGTTGAAGTGTAAAATAATTAAATAAGTTTAATAAAAAATTCTTATCATAAAAAATTTTAAGATTATTTTAAATTTAGTTACAAATTTTTATTTTTATTACTATCATTTTTTTCATTTTTTATTATTGCAATTAAAAACATTTTGAATTGAAAAGTTTATGTGCGATCTTTTAATAACCATTATCAGTAAATTGATACATAAAATAAAAAGGATTCATATTTATTATAATCAAAGTAGGTGATTTTGTTATTAATGTAAGGTAGATTCAGCAATTTTTGTAACAGAGGGTTGATTGATTTATTCTTCGTAGGTATGAGATAAGATATTTTTATAATTTCTAAGCTTACCTCAAAATTAGTCAAAACATAAAAACATAATAAATGTCAAGATATAAAAACATAAAATCAATACAAACTACAAATCGAAAAACTTTAAAATGATTGATTTTTACTCAAAACAGTCTGAATTTGCTAAAAATCAACAAACAATTATTTAAGACAGTCCAGGCATAATAGGCTCTAAATCTTGACCACTTCTGAACTAAAAATTTAACCAATTTTTTTTTGTAATTTGTGACTAAAATGTTAATATTTGAATTGAAAATTTACGTTTGTCCAGCCACACCAGAAAGAATTTTATTTTGAAAGGAAAAAAATATTACATAAAGTATCCACATTATTTGTGCTAAATATTGTAATTTTTGTTTCTAAATTATTTCCTTTTTATTTATGCATATCAAAACTGTTCTAACTTTTCAAGAATATATAATTAGAGTTATGAAGCAAAGGGAGCAGAGAAATTTGCAAATTGTGCACAGAGACACTTGAGCACGGAGGCGTTTAACGCACGTAACTTGCTGCACGCTTTGCAAATTTTGGCTCCGAGAACAAATATAATTGTGCTCGCCAACTTTTGGCACGCCACGTGCATAAGGTGCAGGTGAGTGAGCCGCACCGCTAATGTCAGTGCGCTTTTGTGTTGAGAGACTGTTTCGAGCGTGACAATGCGATTGCATAAATTAGGGGGCTTGCATGTATGTAAAATAATGCAGCATATAACAAACTTGATATCAAACGCGGAGAATGTTATGTTAATTTTATACGTAACTCTTGTGCGAGTGTTTTCGGTCGCGGTCGCCGTGGCTACCAGCATAATTTATTCCACGCCACACTCGACGTTGGAAATTAAAAAGCAGGAAATTTTATATAATGAAAATTATAAGTACGGAGACAAGTGCAGCTGCATTTTTGTCGGTTTAAAGGGACGCGCGGTGATAGCGGCGGCTAATGCGCCGGGTTTATTTTTAAATGGCTTGTTTGTTGTTTTACGATGCGACCTTTACAATAACACCCAGATTGAGAGACGCGGACCACTTGGGATATTCAACAATGACTTTGGAGATTAAGAAATTAATCTTCTCAAAAATTTCTTTTCTCTTCAATAGCCCAATGTTTATTTATTCAAGCTTAAAATATTAACCTAAATTGTCGCGGAGACAATTGCTTTGCTCCATTTAAGTTCCAACATTAATTAATTTAATTTTTAAACAGATTCTGCAAATATTCATGGAATATAATTGACATTTCCTTTATTATATTTATTATTTTGGGCCATTGTCTGCTCCAATGCAATGGTTCCGAATACTTTTCCAATTGCCTAGAGATAAGTCTGAGGGTTTTTTTTTGTTAAAATTTCAACTTATGCATATATCCTGATTATATTGTTTTAATTAAAAAAAAAAAAACAGTTGAAAATAAAGATTTTATAGGGACACTTTTCTTGTCTACCTTTCCTCTTTATTTTGGATTCTAAATTTACAAATAACTTAATTATTATTTTTTTCTAATTTTTCGCTCGTATTGTAAAATATTTTGTTCATTTTCCCCGTTATTTGCATTGTTTCCAACCAATTTTGAAAAACAATTGGTTTAAAATAAATCAAAATGGGACCTTACTCTGATCAGAAAGAAGCTTTTGCTCCAGCAATTTTTGTTTCTTCCCTTTCAAGTAAAATTTCAGTTTTTTTTATTTATAGCTACAGATATATTGTAAAATTGATTTATATTTTCAAATAATTATATTTAAATTTGTCCTTATTTTCCCCTAGTTTGCCTCAATATTCCTGCTTCGTGAAATTTGAATAAATTTTTATTATAAAAATTAGGTGAATTTCTGAATTTTTTCTAGTTTACATTACAATTTTGAGTGTCTATTTAAAAATAAAAATAAATATTTTGAATCTTCACAATATTACACATAAACCTGCAACTTGGTACTCACCTTCGTGATGTAGGTGAGATGGGGAAGGAGAATCTCATGGCAAGGGGCTGATGCACTAACGCAGGCGGCGAGCCGGGGGTGGCAGTCGCGAGGGCGGTGGTCGGCACCAAGAGAGGCGGGGGCGGGCCCGCGATCGTCCTGATGGGCAGGGTCGAGTACGGGGGCGGCTGCTGGTAAGAGTTCATCAGCAGGTCGGGCAGCAGCCGCTCGGCGGGGATTTCCACTGTGGTGGCGCCTCCGGGGGCGGCCAGGGTGGGGGCGGGCGCCGCCGCCGGGGCGCTGTTGCGCAGGAGACGCTGCTGGCGCCGCTCGCGGCGTTCGCGGCGCCGCTGCTCGCGATTGTCAGGCTCGGTCTGCGCCTCGGTGGAGGTGAAGGTGCGCGCCTCGCCGCCCCCACTGCCGCCCCCGCCGCAGGGGACGATCTGCACACTGGACACATGCGGCATCGAACACAGTCTTCGCTCTTCGTCTTCGGTCTCGACGTCGTCGGCGGCCGCGGGCAGGCCGCCGGCCGCTGGCCCCCCTTCAACACTGACACTCACCATGCGCGACGCCACCGATGCGTCCGCGCGAAGCAAAGGTGCGCTCGACACTGACGGCAGCCGACCTGCCGCGGTGCAACCTGAGCCGCAGCAGCCGGTGCCGCCATCTAGAGGCCACTCGTCGCTGTCGTCGTCGGACGAGTCGTTGCGGCACTCGTACGGTTGGTACAGCAGCGCCGACAGGGCCTCCTGCACGCCTAGCGAGCGTGATGACGACCGAGGAACTTTTCGAGGGGGCTCCTGAAAAAAATAAAGTGATTTGAAACCTGAAGAAATTTAGGGTTTTAATTTCATTTTGGTTCAAATTTTTGGTGTCGCGAACGGAGAATAAATAAATAGAAGCAGGTTAGTTAAATTTACATGAAATAAATACTTAACGACTGGGCAAATTTTGCAGTCCAATCTAGAGATTTTATTTTGAAAAAAAAATTTCATTTCCATGGATACAGATTTTTTTTATTATTTAAATTTTATCACCCTAGCTCGTCCCAAGAAATTTGAGCAATTTTCTTGGTCTGGTAGATTGAAAAAGGGCCCATTTTATAAGAAAAGTTAATTTTAAAAAAAAAAACTGACACTGAGTTTAAATAATAAAACTGACAATTAAATACTGCAGAAATTATTTTAAACTTTTTTCTATTATCACTGAATTTACATTTATGCTGATTTTTATTTTATATTGTCTAAAGTTACCATTCATTTAACAAGATTTAATATTACATAATGAATCTGCGCTCTGCGATTTATATTCATGAATTAAATGAATTTTTAAGGATTATAGTTCAATGCTAAACTCGGAATGAGAGACTTGATTTAACATGGAAGAAATTTTGGTAACGATGGAACACGGACATCTGAATATTATAAATTTTTTGATTATATCTGTATCTCTGTTGCATATTTTTTTTCCTACGCTTATAATTGAATGAAAAAAAAATAATATTTAACATATTAATTTATTAAATGTTCAATGTAAAAGATATTGATATATATTTTAATATAATAAAAAAATAAAATATTCTACGTAAATTAAGTTTTTTTTTAACCATAAAAATTGATAATATCTAATTTTGCCTGTATCATGATGCATCAAAAGGCTTTAACAATACTCTTCTATATCTCATCATTCAAGAGCCGAAAGAAAATTACCATAGCAAATACTTTATAATAAAAGCGCCGGTTGAAGGCTAATCTGCATTTATGATAATTAAAACGCTAATTCGCGCCGGCCGGTCGAAATCCCGAATTATAATTCAAATAAGCTGCTTACACCGCGGCAAATCAGATTAGAGCCGCAGGATGCACTTTGCGCTTAGCACGATTATGCTCCGAGCACACAGCATGTGTACGAGTGGCAGCACTTGTAGGGCCTCCTGAATGTACATTTTAATTTCCAACTGACCTGCCAGCAGGGGTTCGGGGTCTGCACGCCGCTGTCCTCAACCCGTCGGCCGTGTCCGAAGTCCAGCTCCAGCGGCGGAACGCGCGCCAGCGGCAGTTCCGTCGTCGCATTGTTGACGGGAACGACGCATCGGAACGCGTCGCGACGCCCGACGGTGTCGCTCGGATCTGGCCAGCAACGCCTGCAACAAAATTAATAACGTTTTTATTAATATGAAGTGTTCATAAGAATTAATTGAAATTTTAATAAATATTTGTTCATTTTTGTATTTAAAAAAAATATATATATATATTTTTCATATTTCGTTACGGCAAATATATTAAATAAATGGTACAAGTTAACAAATATTTAGTATCAAATCGTGTTTATTAATTATCACCGGGCATTCTCTGCCCAAATAAATCATCCATACATTCAATATTTTAAACTACATCGATTACAAAAGAATTGCAATAATAGTTATAGTAGTAAAATATATGAATACACCAAATGTGTGCTTTTAATATAGCAATTTGATGACATTTAACAATATATGAATTAAAATGAGATTCATCATTTTAAGTAAGTCAAAGTAGATTGAATTAAAAAAGTAATTTTTATAAAAGAGTGTTAATAGCGAGCTTTGATTTCCAAATTTTCATTCTCAGAGCTATACTTTTGATCATAAAATATTTTTTCCCATTCCCTAAATTTCATTTTTTTTCTTGACGCTCAAAAAGCTTTAATAATAATGGTTCCTATTTACAAGTTTTCCTCCATATTAATTTTTTTTTTATTAAATTTAGGATGCATGGCCTTAAGTTACGCCATTTAAATTAAATCAAAATTTTTTTTACTTGCAACTATAAAATTTCATATTTATTTAAGATATTCCATAAAATTTAAGAAGCACGGAAGAATTTGCAATAAAAACACCCTCAAATATCTTTAAATAATTTCTCTCTCGGTGCATCAAAACACAGCAATTTTTTTTATCAACCCCTAATGCACAAGTCATGTTTCCACACATTCTCTGCAAAGCTTGAACTTTCCTCCTCATTTTCCGTCTGCCTATTGAAAACTCCACACAATGTGCGTCGGCCATCATTTTTATATTTTTCGGTGAAAGAGGGAAAATGCTGCGGCTATTGTTATAATAACGCGAGCAGGGGTCGCTGAATAAAATGTGGATAGTCATAAATAACCGCACACCGGTGGCCGCGAGGGTGGGAAAAAGACACAAGGCCGTGCCTTATTTTATTTCGCAGCAGCACAATTATTTTTCACGTGTGTTTATATCGAGGAAGTGCGGCACTTTCTGTCAGTCACGCGAGCTGCTTGGTTATGCGTATCGCCCCATTCGTTTGTAAAAGCAGCTGGACTTGCAGTTTTATATAGACAGGGGCGCTTTTTCAAATGAAACGAAAAGTACCGCTCGATCAAAATACGCACAGCTGTGAAAATAGTAAATGTTTGGTCTTGAGCTTTGATTCGGCAGTGAAACTCTCATCGAGCATTCAAGTCTCTGTAAAAGTTTTCTATTTATTTATATTGAAAGTGCAGTGCGTGAGTAAATGGGGCACAGTCCGTATTTGCTCACCAAAAACGGACCCTCTCACTCACTCACTCTGTTTGCAGCTGATTTATTGTAGTTAAAACTGCAAGCTAAGAGAGTGAGTCAGAGTACATAAGTCCGATGCAACGAGGTGGAAAAGGATCGGGCACATTATATCTCTCGGCGGACGAACTTTTTGCGAAACTTTCCAGCTGCCGGCCGGAGTTTTAAAGTTTGCATAAGCAATTTCTGCATGCCGAGATAGACGCTTTGAGGTATTTTCAGAGAAGAAAAGCTCTGCAGAAGTCCGGCCAGGTGAATAAAGAGCGAAGAAGTTTTGCTCCAAGGGAGTGTATAAAATATTTAATGAAAATCTCACGTGATATATTAGGAATATTTAAGTAATCCAAAGTTTGAAAACGTTCGTGGCCTTTAAAAATGTATTCAATCTGGGAAAAAGTGGCCAAATTTATGTCCTGAAAAGTTTTCTGTGAAAATTTTATAAAAAATTGATTGCGGTTAAATACGGTAAGTTTTTAATAATTAATGTTGATTAATATTAAAGTGAAAGAGATAAATGAAAACTGACAATAAAAGCTTAGAGCTTGATTACAAAAATCATATTGAAATATAATAATTTTGCCAAAAAAAATTTAAAACCACATACAAGAAAATCTTAAAAATTATGAGTTTTAGAATCTTTTTATAATATAAAGAGTTTTCTATTTATTTTTTAATTCATTTTTAAATTTTTATAATATTAAAATCACAAAGCAGTTTATTCAATTGACACGTTTTTGAGATCAAAACTTTAAGAATTAATAAGATAAAAAGATTATATATATAATTGGAGGCATAAAATCAATGATAATATTGTTTAAGAATAATTTAATTGCAGTTAAAGTAAATGATTTAATTATAAAGCAGCCATATGAGGATAATATATTGAAGAGTAAAAAAAATTTAATATTAACTCAACATTCAAACAGTTAAAAATTTAGACTACGTAAAAATGAAGTTTGTCTAAAAATTGTTCAATAAAGAGATTTGAAATAATTCTTTTTTATCTTACAACTTGTGACAAATGGGTAAAATAAATGCAATATTAAATTAAAGATTGTTTAAACAAATGGCTCAATTTGTCTGTGAAGAATAAACAATAAAAGTTATTGAAAATTTGAAGACAATAATATTATGAAATATTAAAAGGCAAAGTAAAATTAATTTCAATTATAGAAAAATGTGAGTGTTGAAAACTCAGCTTCCCCCGTATTTTTAGATCTGATACAGAACCAAAATATTTGAGGAACATGGAACATCGTCGTAAAAAGCAACAAAACGTTGGGCAATTCCATGTTATGCGAAGGCAAATCCCCGAAATTTACGTAACGTTGCTCGAACCGAAGCCCCACAGTTAAAAAATTCAATCTCCACTAGAGAGAGATGCGAGCACAAAGCTCAAAGGGATTCCAACCCCTGGCAGCAGTAAAACGAAAATGCCTGCGAGAGAGAGAGAGAAAGACGAGCAGCTGTTTCCCTAGGAGGAATTCTCTCGGAAATCGTCCTACCTCTTTATGGCCTTTTGGCGCCTGAACCGATAATGGGGCGAAGGTGAGTCTCGTTCGGCAACCTCGTCCGTGGGACACATGGTACACTTCGGCGGCGCCGACGGTCGACGCCGAATTTCGATCGCGACCGAGGCGAGGCGACGTGCTCGCCGAGCGGGAAGCAAGCGACTGACTAACCAGCCCGATGCATATATGACATGGGGAAGAAGAAGCAGAGAACACACATTTGTGACCGCCTGCTTTTTGTGAGGGGTTCAAATTATACGACGGCTGGGGTGGGGGAGGATGCACGGCTCGGCGGATCAACGCCAGCTCTACACAAAACCATTGTAAAGTTATTTTAAATTCAAAATTTCAATCTTTTTTTATTTTTGCTCTGTTGAATATAAAATTTTGATGGAAATTAATTTGAATTTGAGTAGAAATTGATGTAAAATAATTTTTAATTTTTTTTTGGTCTTGTCCTTTAAAGCGCCCCCTTGGCAAGGTAAGGGAATTGTGTGCACACGTGTGTGCCATACCTCGCGTTAGCACACACAAAAGATCTCCATACCCCTGACCTACCCCTCATCAATAAACTGGCAGGCGTACGTTTTTTTTGAAAGGAACCAAAGCACAAAGGACGCGGACACATGACACCTTTTCTCGAGAGCTCCGATTTTTCTTAAGATTTCTTCCTTCTACTTTGTCGTGGCAAAAAAAAATGCAGTGCTCTGGATTTTGTTGTTTGTTCAGAGTGAGTGCTCAACGAATTAACCGGCTCGGGTTGCGTGGGTGGAAAAACTGAAATTGCCCTTCCGGTTGAATTAGTGCCGCAGTTAATTGGATGCACTCGAAACAACACTGTAGCTGAATAGGAAATTGTTTGCAGAGCTGCCAGGAAATAAATAATGAAAAATAAAATTATTAAATACATTTAAATAAGTCCAATATTTTCACTCCACAATAAAATTTAATTACATGCGTAAATAGAAAAAGTCACGTTTTTTACGAATTACCTTCATTTCCCAATTTTTATGGTTTTATTTGTTTTTACACTAGATTTTATAAACAATTTTTTTTCTTAATTATGACATAAAATAATTTTTAGTTTCAATTAATAGGTTTTTGTTTGATTTAATTTTGTTTATTTATTTTTTATTTAAAAAACAAATATCATTATTTAATCTATTTTTATAGCTTTTGAATTTTTTACCCGTATTGTATAATGTTTATTATATTATTATAATATAATATTTTATTTGTTTATAATTGTATTGCCTTCAACGTTTAAGAGTAAATGGAGTTATTTCATAAACATAGAACCTCTAGGTATCCGTGTAGATATTTATTTATCGCTTGTCAATATCTGATTATTTTACTGAAGTGTATTTAATTTGAATAAATTCTTAGGCAAAATCTTAGACAAAAGTAAATAAATAGTTTGAATTTAAAAGTTCTCTATACTGATAAATAAAAAGGAATTTGGGCCTTCCAGTTCCACTATTAGCCACAGGTCTAAAAGGAAAAAAAACAATAATTGCGAGTAGATTTTTAAGTTCTAGTTTCGTCGGTTGAAATAATTCGAAGAGAAATTTGTATTATGCATTTTCAGCATATCGAGTGATTTGAAATTTTCCTGCTCCAGAATAAATCATATGTTGAATGTAAACACTGCGCACAAACATCTCTCAAAATGAGTCAAAGCTGGTTTTGGTTAGAATATTTTTAATGAATGTTCGAGAGAGGCATGAAACTTCCACGCAGAATAAAAAGATCGTCACATTTGCAGCTTTTGCCGGGCAGAGAGAAAATAATATAATTCATTGGACGGTGGCAAACAGCTTTTTTGCTATAAATCATACAAAAGCGAGAAATTCAATTTCCGCGACCAGTCAGCCGAATCATCTCTCCTCGGCTCTTTTGATATATATTTATTTTCGCCGCTGGAAATTATCTCTCATTTTTCTAGCCATTTCACATCTCTCGTGCCGAATTAGCCCTTTCATTTCATTTGCCAAAATACATAAAAGAAATTTCTTATTATATATGGAAAAAGCTCCGAGAGCGAGAGACGTGGAGGACGTAAAAGAGAGTCTC